ACCTGTACTTGTATAGTGCCTTTTTAGTCTTCCGACCACTCAAAGCACTTTTACACTACGTGCCACATTCACCCTTTCACGGCAAAGTCCATTGAACAGAAACTAATGCATTCATACTCCATTGAACAGAAACTAATGCATTCATACTCATTCATACACAGATGCTATGCATCAAGAGCAATTTGGGGTTCAGTATCTTTGCTCAAGGATACTTCGACATGTGGCAGGAGGAGCCAGGGATCGAACCACAACCTCCGAATGGGCGGGATCGAACCAACAACCTTCCAAATGGGGGGACGACTCCGCTCTGCCTCTGAGCCACAGCCGCCCACATACAGAAAGATACAGAACCTACTGCACATTTACATAAAGATCCACAATGTTGTGGAGGGTTGTTATGATAAAGAGGAAGAGTGTAATCTGTTCTTTCTCAGGTTGCATCACTGATGGATGAACTGCAGTTCAGAGTAACTAGCCTTCTTAGATACTCTGGGTAGGAAAGATACTGCCCAGGGACCCTACTTTGCACCACGGTCAAACGTAGTGTGATTCATAGGTGTGCTTGGCACCAGAACACCTTAGGTCAAAGATGCATGATTGACTTTGGGATCGTATCATCAGATCTGCGGCTGTACGTCCTTGGTAAAGAGAGGAGCAGAGCTGTCAACTGATCAACAGTGAGTTTGAACAAATTTGCAGAGGAGACTTCAAAACATACTTGTGTAGTGAGAGTAAACTGAGAACGTCTGACCGAGGTCCCTGTCTGCGAGGGCTTTAACTTCCCCCTTTCAGAGGATTTCTCATACATCCCATGGGAGGTTGGGGACATGGAATCAAAATAGCCTCATACAACATTTTGTCAAAATCAAAGGATATTTTGGAGATACATGGCTACAATATTGTCTCTTTAAATGGAACTTTTAGACTTCTAGAGTAGAGTAAACGGAATTGAAGTATACTGTGTTAGCTGGCGATCGGATACAAGAAGGGCCTCTGAGATTGCAGTTGCCGAGGTCAGAATAAAAGGACGGTAATGTGTCCAGGTGAAGAGGGAAACTTTCCAGTGAAGGTTGTCCAGCTGGCAGACAGGTGCTGAGGGCTGAACAGAGGCAGGGAAGAGGTGGAGACCAGCACTACAACTTCTACAACTTTTTTGTTTTTTCTCTTCCTTTATTCTCTCTGTGCGCTCACCGCTCTGTAATTACGCCAGCTGCCTGGAACCTGTGGATCTTTTTTCTCTTTCTCTCTCTCTGCCTCGCCTGTCACCTCTGTTTTATCTCACTCTCTTCTCCTGAAATTCTTTTAATGTTCCCTCTCCTCCCTCACCGCTGTTCCTTCCCCCCCCGAAAAAGTGTTGCACCTGCCAAGTGACCACACCTATGGGCCTATACAGAGTTAGACTGCAGCTTGACTTGAATGGGAGATCCTTGGCGTGTGCAATCAGTTAGATCCCTGTATATCAGTATCAGAACTGGCTCTCAAAAACCCATATAGGTCAAATGGAACTAATACTAAAAATATAAAAAAAATATAAAAAACTTTATTTTGACAGTTTACCAATGCTAATACACTAATAAAAAACATTTGTTTAACTTTCTTGTTGTGAAAACCTAATTTAAACACGATATATGTCAATTAACAAACAAATCCATAAAATAACAGAACTGTTAATTGTCAGTAATTTTACATAATTTTAGTATTATTAGTAACAGTAATAAATTTAAATTGAACAGTTTAATCTATTAAATAAATGTAAATATCTGTGAAAAATTATACATTTGCAAATTAATTTTAATCTTTTTATGTGATTTTTTTTATGTGAAGATTTTTCATGTTATTTTACATTAGACATTACTATTTTTGCAATTTCATTAATATTTCCATGAATTAAAAAAAATTAAAAAAAATTAAAAATCTGTAAAACAAATGGGCAAAACCCCATAAACACACAGATTACGGGTACAGTGTTCTTTTCCTCTCAGATCCACCACTATTGTTTTAGCTTTGTTTTGGCATATTCGCCATGTCTACTGACGGTCACCAAATGCAGTACCTTTTAAATTGGAACACATTGGAGACCAATTGCTGCAGTATTTTTCACGATATATTGAAGATAGTAATGTAGGAAAGATAGTAATGATCACAGTTTAGATGCTTCACAATATTTATTTGATGCAGTCTCTATGAAACGAAGGTAGCTTGCACATGACACACTACTGCACACCTGAACACTAGTGAAGGTGGCGGGACGCACATGGAGCATGGAAGGCAGATCAGAAATCTGGATCAGGTGTCATTAGTGCCCTGGTTTTTGGTCAAAGCACTCTTGCTAGCATATTCAGGTTCCTCAAAACTGGGATGAGGGTTTAAGGCCTGGTCACACCAGCATTTAATAACTACAGGGGCAGCTCTAGAGCAGTGGTTCCCAACCTTTTTTCTCAAGGGTTAGGGTTTGGGTTTTCTATCACTTAGTAAACTGACGACTCCTGACTAAGTGACATATTTTATGGATATTTCATATTATATGCAAATCTTTAAAAATGTTTTTTATACTATTCTTTGTCTCTATTATGTAAGTATTTTAGAAAAAATATTTTCTTCCGATAATTTTAATAGGCTTCTTCTTTAAAAACGTTTGTGTTTTTCTGTCCCTGACACTTATTCTATTTGCTATTATTATTAACTTTTTTTTTTTAATTTTTACTATTACATGCTATTATTCTATTGGACAGTTTACTTAACAATTTATATTCACTTTTGTTCACTGAGGGAAAATCAGATGCTGAGATGTGATTCTTTTTTCAGTTTTCTAGCACATGTTAAAATCAAAAAGGCGTCACAACCCCCTGTGAAACTTTGGTGAACCCCAGGTTTGGAACCGCTTATTTAGAGGGGTGGCAAAATTGCCTGGCCAGCCCACTTTGGTGTCAAATGCAGTCAAACTATTCATTTAGATTTATTTAAAAAATGTGTAAACTTTAACTTCGAAACGTAAATTAATGTTTACCTGTTATGGACCCATTTAAGACTAAGTGATAGGTTCAAAGGTCCAGTGTGTAACATTTAGAATGATCTAATAGCAGAAATGGAATATAATATTCATAGGTATGTTTTCATAAGTGTATAATCACCTGGCTGTAGACTAGGCCTTTTACAAGTTTTACATTTACTGTGTTTCTCCTAAACACTTCAGAGCCTGTTCTCATTCCCAGTTTGTTAAATACAGATGCCACTTAATCCTACTCCTTGGTCCTTTAAATGCAGATTTCTAGAAACATGTTTTTCCATGGACAGACAGAAAAAAATTTCCTACGACTGGTTCCCACAGTTCTCTCTTCT